AGAAAATACACGGGCGAAATGTGTAACAAACGGATCGCGGGTCAACGATCAAGGCCCGGGTTTGTTTGAGGAGGATTTAAAGATCTTTCAGTATGACTCAGCTTTATTAAAGCCGACCCTAAAGCGAATATATCTGGAGAAAGTAATCTAAGATTCTAATAAATAAACAAGAGCACAAGTAAAGATGCAAAACATTTTTCAATATTTTTTCATGTACTATGCTTCGTGCTTGATTTGGCATTGAAAACCAGCAACGTGCAGACCCTGAGACAATGGTTCCTCTCGTCATCCTTCATTGTTTCGGCCGCACGTCTGGAATCTTAAGAGACTACCCCATTATTATACATCCATCCGCAGAGGGATCCCTCTTCCTTCGTGTAATCCTCGAAATAAATTGACGAGCACACGAGACACCTGCGTGAAATTAGGCGGCATCTAGAAGCGCTTGCGCGAGATTACACTAGTCAAATTTTACGAACTTTTTAAGTTTCGAACGTTATTTCATGCATAAAATTATATTGCATAATATTTATGTTTCTCCGCGCAAGTATACGCTTTTTCTCGTTAAGAGTCTATTGTATTCTGACGTGCAATAATCATTTCCAGCGTTTATTATGACGTCCATTCTTCCTCATTAGTAATATACAAGCGTAGTTACATATGTATGCCAAAAAAATTTCGCATTAGGATTTAAAGTGTTTTAGCACCATCTGTAATTTTTAAGTGAGTCAATAAAGAGGAAGAATCTCTCTCTTTTACGCCAAAAAAGAATCGAAGCGATTCTCACATCAAACCGGCTACTTAATTTTATTTACTCACTAATGGATCCTAATCATTCTTACAAAACACGCGCGTACCCGACACGTGTTGTTAAAATCGCCCTTTCCAACGCGACTCGCGCTGATGTCACGGATCGAAACCATCGTTTCCTCTATCTCGAGTGGACCTCCGTACGTGCTTATGTTGCATCATTACGCATTTGAATGCTCGACAAATTATGCTTCAAGTACCACATACATCGAACGGCGATGTGTCACGGCGCGTGAGCGAACAACAAACTCGGTATCTCTTTCACAACTCTTTGACGCCGCTTTTCAGGAGAATCGAAGAAGTAGCATAATACGCGCGGGACGAATACGTGTGTCGCTCGCATAATCACGGGTAAATTTCTCTCGATGGGCGGAAAACATAATGGCTCGACTACCATAGATGCACCGCGTTACGAAAGAACGAAGGTATGTGTTGTATGTAGGTATCCTTATTTCTCTCTCTTTCCCTCTATATTTCTTTTTGCTCTATCCGTGCACGAATACGCGCGTTTGTAACCGCGCACACGCATACACACGCGAGTAACCGATACCCGTTTGTACCCACCATCGAACCAAGAGAAAGAGAGACGGAAAGAAACACAATGGCAAATGGTATTCTATTATTCCAGATAGGCCCCGCGCGCATCTCTCCTTCGTTGCTCACGGGGTCCGAGGAATGCAGGCATGAAATCATTCTCCAATATCTCACCGTAGGACTCTTCCCCCTTTGTCTCCCCCTCGCCCTCTCCCTCGCCGCAGCGCTCAAACAACCACCGCGTTCGTAACCCGAAAGTAAATCCTAACCACTGGCATCCCCCACGTCGCGCGATACGCCCCTGTCTGCGCCGGTCATTCATCACTCTCGTCTAATAATCCTCTTTGCTCGTCGAGGTAACATTAATTGTGGCATGAGATGCATCGCGCTGAATGCGGCGGACACGCGTCGAGATGCGCCCCGAACGATGATGATCGATACTCCGCTTTTTTTCGCGGTTTTCACTTTAGCCTGGATTATATGGTGTTTGGATTCTTTTTATTTCTTGTCATCTATAAGAGCCGCGTTTAAGATTGAATGGTGCTCGTCCAAGTCCTTTGAACGGTCGCTTTTACGCTCGACAGTTTTAACATTATAGCCTTGACCGAAATTATGAGAAACGTTTGATAAATTATGGCAAGTCAAACTAGTCATTCTAAAAATATCAAATTATAATAAGTATTAAAATATACATATATTAAGAGAGAATTAAAATATAAAATTAAAAAATATAAAGTTGTATGATAAAGAATATGAAAAATATAAAGTTGTTAAAGAATTAAAATATAAAAAAAATGATTTCTTTTAGATTTATTAAAGGTTCAAAAGTTTATATAAATGCATTATTTGGCTCACTTATAATTTAAAAATGCGACTTATTTCTTAGATAACAAATTATTTTATTTTGCATAAATAATTATCAGCATTCATACTACTTGACTTTGATAATGGATACATATGTTCGATGCATGTCATGTATTTCCATCGCAAATTTCAGAATTATGGCGGTTTATTTTTTTACACATGGATTAAGAATTTTTCTTTATTTTTTCACTCTTTTTCTTCCTATTACAATTCCGAGAGAATAAGAAATTATAGCTCGGAACAGGTTTTATTCCATCTCGTATTTTTTCGCGTATGTTCGCTCCGTTATTTCTGAATCTAAAAATGTTCGTTCTCTCTGTAACGAATACTCGTCGCAAGACACGCATATTCATCATTATTTTCGTGCTCTTCTGAAATTTCTGAAAAAATCGGGAATGTGAAAATATCGATGATATTAACCCACGGATTCTGACCGTCCCTTCATTATCGCTCGTATTTATTTTACGGTAGGAAATATGGAAACATGCGATGTGCGCGGTATACGAAGAAAATTTCTTTCGAGCCATCTTTGTGCGAAATAAATTATTATTGGAAGAGTTCTTGTATAAATCCTCTGCTCTCGCAATAAAACTCATATAAAGGAAATAGTATTCCGTTGCGAATGAAAATTGACAATGTATTTGTATATGATACTAATTTCTTTGCAAGTTTTGATCAATTCCAATTTATATTTGAAAATATTCTCGCTAGTACATTGCATGAAATAAGGATATCCAGCCGTAATACTCGTGCGAATTTCATTTATTTCTAGTCGAGTATTCTGTTCTACCTGTACGTAGACGTACGTAGAATATCATATCGTGCATGTGACAGGTGCACATCACCCATACGTTACAGAAAAGGCTTTCGCTCTTTCATACGAGAGCGGAGTAAGTTCTATGCGCAATTTCATCTGCTGTAAACAGTGGCGGTGACGGCAAGTCACGTCTCAAGAAGTGTAAATTTACAGAATCGATATTCGAGACACTTATCTTAGCTTTCATGCATGATTCGAGACACGTCCCTATAATTTTAATACACGAGATAGTTTAGAATATCGACTCTATTTACACGTGACCCAGTAAACCCGGTAAATCTCGAAATGGCGGTCAAGCTCGACAGTAAAAAAAGTATAATAACGGTCTCATTAACGCGCACGGATCTCACTTGTAAAGAGGTTGCCTAGTAGCGTGGTCACGTTGCCGCGACTCAAAGGGTGCGAAATAATTGAGACTCGGTGGAGGGAACGGGAGAGCGCGGACGATCACGGGAAAAGAGAACGGAAAGCCTTTCGAGCGACGAGAGTCATCATCTTCCGCCCATCGACCATATCCGCGCGTACATCTCTCGCTTTCGCTCCCTCTCGTCAGCTGTTCTCCCCTGGAACCCTTCCGTATCTCCATGGACGATACCCCGCAGTGCGTTTGAATACTCCGCGACGCTCCAACCTCCGTAAACACGCGTGATTCGTCCCTTCGTGAAGAGAGAGAAGGCGCAAAAGCCAGACACGCGGCTCGCGGAGATGGCTCTCTCCCCGGTTGGATTATAAAAGGAAAAAGATTTACAACCCTCGTACGAGATTCATATACACTTCGCACCTACCATCGCCTACGGGTGGCATCAAAGAGCACGCCGTCCCTCTTTTCTCCGAGCATTCCTTCCTCCTCAGAATTGAATCTCTGTTTTTCGCCTTTCCGCACCGGAAGTGCCGAGGGAGCGTTGATGGCGTGAACAAGAAATATGCCTGCGCCCCGTCTTAATCGAACCTCTTTCTGCGTCTCCCTCTAAAATCGAAGATGAAGGATAATACTAAAGTGAGAATCGTACGTAATCATTCTAAAAAGGCTCTGCTGTATGCAACGCTTAATGCGTAAAATGAATGCGACATGCTCTTTTTCTATCCAACAGCCGGGACGAATTCATGGTGGTTGCTTTTCTTAATGAGTGTCGAACTATCCCCTTTTCCCCCTCGGGAATTGGAGAAACGTTTGAGCTCGCCATGGTAATGTTGTAGTCGAAATAACGGCCGGTGTGACAGTCGAGTTTGTTTGATCTGCTTTGTGTCAGTCCTATCTAAATAAAGTAACAAATCCAAAAAATATCAAAGAACTTTGCGTGAAATAATATTCAAGATTAAAAGATTACGGAATTTCTTCGACGCATTATTTGTCTATAAAATGGAAATGATGAAAAAAAGAGATAATTATTGTCTTTTATAACTTAAGAAAAAATATAATATACTCGAGTGTAAAACATTTATATCTCTTTTAAATTGCAGGGAATAACACGTTCGATGGAAATTATTATTATTTAAGACTCATTTTTACGCGATAGTTTAAAAAACACAAGCTTAAATCAAATACGCGAATCTGTCCTGTCGTAAATCGCTACATTATACATTCCTCGACTCGATTAGAGCATTCTGGGCCGAGTTTACGTGGGCAAAAAAAACGCACTCGGGAAAAATTCTTGTCACTGTAAGCGCAAAATTCGCCGACCGACAGTCACGAACGAGCGCGAGCCCTCCTGTCTCGAGAGAGAGAGAGAGAGAGAGGAGCGGACAGTCGCTCCAAAACTCGCATCTCGCGAGCGAGCGGCGTAATACCATCGCATAGCCAGCAAGAGCCAAGGAACCCGAGAGTCGCCGACAAAGAGAGAGAGAAGGAGAGACGCGCATACGGGACGGCGCAAGGATTCGTCCGACTTCGCGCGACTTCGGCGACGCTCGGCGCTCGAGCCGCCGCCAGCCGAGTCTGCCGACGCGAGACGAGCGGCTCTCTCGGCCGACAGACGCGTCCGCGACGCCGAGCTGCGAGGTTGTGTTCGTTTGGTCCGCCGACCAGAGAGAGAGCCGTATCTCTCGGACACTCGCGTCCCGTACTCTAACTTGGCTCGACGGTCGTCGCCGAGAAATCGATAATCGTGACGGTATCGATGCAACAGTGGTGGTTTCTCGCATTCATTTTTCGACGGATTTCTCGCCGGTCGGTCTCTACCTTCTCGGAATCCCGTGGGAATCGTCGCGAGTGCGACTTCAAAAGTGCTACTCGACGTCAATATAGAGGATATTGTATAGTGCTTGTGCCGAGAGGGATAATGTCGCCCTGATATCGTGGGATTCCGGTATATCCGTTGCAGTGAGATTCGCTCTGCAAGATTTGATCCGCGATCGACATTCGCCACTTCTCGCGTCTCACGGATGCGGGGCACGAGAGAGTCTCCCTCGGGACGGTTGAAAAAGTGTTAAAGTTGGAAATCCGCCGGTCTAACGTCAACGCGGAATACTCGATTTTCGCGCGCCCTACGCATTCCGAAACTACTGCCAAGACTCGACTTGGACTACTCTAACGTGTCGAGCGCTGTCGCGTGCATTCGCCGCATCGAATGATCGACGGCGAGCGACGGGTGGCTTCGCGCTCCGCAAACGAAGATTCCAACCGAGGATCCTACGTCCGTGGCGTTTCGCGTTCGTTTCGCAGCAGCGGCCGCGATCAGCATCGTCGCCGTATCATTTCCGAAGTATCCCCGGGGAAAAACTGAACCAATGAACGGTCTGGTAAGCCGTGCTCCGGGCGAGAGAAACACAGGCCGGATCCATGGAACCGGCGCTATCATCTCGGATACCATCGACAACGACGCGCCGAGAGAAACGAATCCCGTCTGATCGCTCCGACTTAGATACGTTGAATCTACTATAATTTCTTTTGCCGAGAATATTAAGAATCGTCGAAGGTCGTTGGATCGTACTGGATTTCTCGGCATGACGGTGTAAAAGCGGTAACGGGAATTGTCCGAAGGAGGCATCGCAGGGATCAATCGCGACTCGTCGACGAGAAAACAACGGTCAAAGTGGAGTGTGCATGTGGCGGAGGTGCGACAGTGGTGGAAGAAGTAGGTGGTCGTTGTGGACGACTGCAACGAGGTCGCGGGCGAAAGTGCAACGGGTGCTGTTGGTGTCGTTGGTGGTTGTTGTCGAATCCAAGTGCCCGTGGTGACGGTGCTAGTCGTCGTCCACGTTGTTACCATGGTTTCCACGTCCTTCGTAACTCTGGTGTTCCTCGTGTGTCTGCAAACGGTACTACTGTCGACTGTGAGCAACTGCGCCAAGACGATCAGCATGTACTGGAACACCACCAATTCCATGTAAGTGCGCAGCTACAAATGCGTGTAACGTCTCTTCCCCTAAGATCCTAATCGCCGCGGCGATCCCCGAGGGTCGATCATGTTCGTTCTCGAGTGTAGTTTTTCAAGCGAAAGAATTTCCCGCGAATTTGTAATCGCGTTGGGTTTGTTTGATGAGCAACGATAAGACATTGGACGGGAAAAGTGAAAAAAGTTTGGTGAGAATCTCACGATTAACTCACTAATTACGGGAAACGTGAAAGGAATAATTAATTAATGCGGCAATTTTCTTGTCTCGAGTAATCTTATTTCATGGAAATTTTTGTATGTTTTTAACGAAATATTTTGTTTGGAAATTCTGCAAAAACAATGATAAATTTCTATGAAATAATGATTTTGCTAAATAATAATTTCTTTAAACTGAAATTATATTGTGCGGAGCACAAAACTATAAAATATTAAAAATTCTCTCTACACATTTAATTCTAAATATGTGATGCAAGAATTTGATAGTCGCTCTTAGAATCTTAACTATGGAGTGAAAAAATACAAGTCTCTTTTTCGCAACATATTTTCAACAAAGAAACTATATACACAGCTGTACACGTGAACGGACAAACTCAACTTTATCCGTTCCTCGTACTGGCGTCGCTTAGAAATTTCCGTAAAGCTCGAGATCTCTCGCGACAGATCTTTTCCCGGTATTTTTCTCTTCCATCGCTCCGACGTTTCAGTCTTTCCTTTTGTTGTTAGCGAATTGCGCGGGCGAGGAGAGCTATACGTGTACATTTGGCGCGTGTGCCAAGACGTTTAAGGTCGTCCGTGTGTATGTTTGCAAGGGAGCATTTTGCCGGCAAATCGATTTCTCACGGCGGGACCGGCGTCGTCGTTTCGAATAACAGCCGCCCTCCTGTTCTTTCGCTTGATTCTCGCTCCATTCACTTCCGGCGTGCTTTTATCGTGCCGGGCGTGGTATCATCGCGTCTGCCAAAATTGCGGCAGCAACGTCGCATGTATGTGTACGTATGTACGACTTTAATGCGCCGGCGAATTGGCCGATCCTGGTCGTGGCGAGGATTTCCTTCGTGACGTCCAAATTGCAGGCGATCGCGGAGAAAAAGAGAGGCGGAAGCGACGTGTCAGAAGCGCGCCAGGATTATGGCAGGCGCAATATTGTAGCCGATGTTGCTGCTGCTGGTGCTGCTGCTGCTGATGCTGCAGTCGCGAACGCGTTGTATAGAACCCTCGATGCAAATCGAAGGAAAGTTCGTTGTAACGGTAGTAGTGGTAACCAATCCTGTGATTGACGGGAGAGAAGTAATTTTGCAACTAAAAGTCGGAAACTTTTCGATATCGAAAATTCCGGGGATAAAAGTTGAGAATTTCTGAACCGCGAGCTGAAAATTTCGGAACCGTGAGCTTGAAAGTTGGGAGTTAGAAATTGAAAATTTCTGGCAGTTGGGATATTTTGATAGTTTTACGCACACGTGAATAATCTCGAATATATTGAATTTTATCGTTCCCAATAGTCTCGCTAGTTTCGAATATTTTCGAAATTAAGAATCTTTATAATTTTAACTAAACAACGTTATCAATTTCGTTGAAACCAGGAATACGTAAAGGATATCGGATTTTATTCGGATGAAATATCTTTTTGTCTAATAAGATATATATCTTTGCACTGACGTAGAGAGTTAATTGATCGATAAGAACGGCCAGACACGACTTGTCTAATCGAGAATAACGATGCAAAACTGCAACGAATCGCGCATGCACGATACATACATGAATGCATATGTGTGCGTGTGGATATGCAACATTGTGACCGACTTTGCAGCTCAACTCCTGTTCGCTTGCCTGTATAACTACGCGGTAAAGTTAACTGTCGCAGTCTCGTAACGTTTCTTTTTTTAGTAGAAACACGAACCTTATACCGTACCTCGTTAACCCCGACGATTTCTTCCGTCTAGCGCGAAGCGGTTTGCGTAATTCTCGACAGACTTTTTTTGTTCTTTGTCCTCGACAACGAGAGATGTACGTCCTGCCGACTGTATTTGCTCGTGCTACTCGTATTTCGCATCCGCCTTCCGATCTTCGAGTCTTAACGAGTGTAACGTTTTCATTTTTGCGCCATGGTAAGAAACCGGCCAATTTCCATCCCGACTCGAGATAACTTCGATTAACGATCTCAATTAATGACGTCAATTAACGTTTGATTATTTCAGCCGCTTTCAATGTCGCATCGAACTCCGATAACGCATCTTCCTTTCCATCTTATCTTTAATCACATCGGATGATCTAAAAATCTCAATCTTACACATCTCTAATTAGATCCAGAAGACAAATGTTCGTTTCTTCACTCTCAATCGTAATTCCAACCTTCGTCCTGTAATCGTTTATAATTACATCTGTCGCTTGACTTTACAAGGCGATTTTTATTTTGCGAATGTGTTTCAACTTGGAGGTCGAGTGTCGTTAACGTAGGGAAATCCGGACGTTCCAGTCTCAGTTTACGAAGACCGGGCGAGTCAATCTTACCCTGACCTGACTTTGACGATCACGCATGCATTACAAGCCGGTTACGGTTCCTCGGTGAGCAAGCGAATGCGTGAATCGGTGAGTGAGTGAGCGTCGTACGCGTTCTCTCATACGTGAATCCATTTCGCGCAGGAGAGGGACTCTGTCAGGCTGTCTTCCTCGTAGGGCATATGAAGGGGCAATAAAAAAGCGTGCGCACCTCCTTCGCGAGGCCCGAAAAAAAAAAGAGTCCCGAGTATGCAGCGAGGAGAGGAGGGGACGTGACAAGGCGCAAAAAAGGCGCCCGGGCGAAACGGGAGGTCGTAAATCTCGGCCTCTTATTGGGAAATCGAAATTCGTTTTAAGAAAGCTATCGGCCGCCAGTGAGAAAACGAGAGAAAAAAAGAGGGAGAGAAAGACAACCGATGCCGCTTGATTATCATAAATCTACTTCCGCGATGATCAGCAACTATCGAATGAAGCGTGAACTCGGACGTTTAGTGCCTGTTCGAGAATGGGTCGCTCGAAAATGATCGTAAGCTTTGTACGGTTTATTAAAAGAAAAAAGGAGAGCACGTAACGCATGTTCGTGCGCGTTGTGCAAACGGTGACAGCGTCCATTATGAAAGCCATATCGTGCTCCGTTTTTTTAAATCGCTATTACTGAGAGATACGCCGACGAGATCTCTCTCTTTTTCTCTCTCTTTCTCGCAAAATATGGCGATGCAAAGTAATACACTCGTGAGTCTCTCTCTTTTTTTCTCTTTCTCTCCGTCTGTCACTTTTCATGCGAACGAGCGAAAAGCGGGCGACGACGAGAAATCGTGGCACATCGCCGTTGGAGACTTCAATGCTAACAACGAGATCCACGTTGCTAGATTATTGAACTCTCTGCTCCTCCTTTTACCTCTTCTTTCTCTTTTCTATTAATATCGCGGATAATTTTATCGAATTCAGAAACGGCAAGAATTAAAAATTGTTTGATGCTATTAATTATATTTTTTTTCGCTGTATTTTTTTTTACAATCACTTTTCTTTCTTTTTGTAAAATTTAAAGATACACTTACTTCTTGCTTATGTTTATACTTTTACGTAAATATAATGTTTCTTTGTCAAATGCTGACTTTTTCCAACATTTTTTTCCATTATCGTCACGATAAAAAAATGATATCCGTGACAGCTACATCGTTCCAAAGTTTTTTTTCGTATGATAAGCTAATAAATATAATCGATGTCTTCATATAAATATCAGGTTTCAAGTTTGGTGACACACTCCCTTTCAGCATTAAAGTTTTTTGTTTGATTATTACGTCCGATATGCCAGACGCCGACGTCGACGTCGTTACGAACAATCTTAATGAATGGCGAGTGTTGGCTCGATACCAAGCGGCTAAGTCAAATACCCAGAACTCGCGACCACAAGCTATTCGTCATATCGTTGGAATTGCCAGTGTCCGGATACGCTTAGTAGGTGGATTTATATATGCATCATTGTATAGAGAGACGACTGGTCGCATCATTCGAAGAATTCGTGCAGCGAATTCTGCAACACGTTTCTCTCCATCTCTCTCTCTCCTTCTCTGCGACTTTGTTCTGCTTCTCCGAACACGCGTGATGCCGTCGACAAAATCATTCGCACCGCCTATGCAGATAACATATAAAGTATCTGATATCATTACACGCGTATACTAAATTGATATTTTAGTGAAATTTATTATAGTAAAACGCAATTTTTTCTCATATTTGAAATTGTCGAACAATTGCCGTCAGAGGCAAGATATTAATTAATTAAATTAATTTTCCGCGAAAGTTGTGGCTGCTTGTTATACTTTACGCCTATGGATCCCGTTATTAAATTGCCACGGTATACACGAGAAGCTCGTTTTTGAAAGCAGAAGCTTCCTTCTATTATCCACCTTCGTACCTTCGGATACCATAGCGCTTTACAGCACCAAGTATTAAAGCAACATCGATTTACAGCCACCGCAAATCAGCGGTTTCCCGAGGAAACTAGTACCCTCTGTTCTTGAGGATTGCGAATTCGCTGGTCGATTCGTGGAAATAACCCATTGCCTGGGCGCGCTACCGTCATAGCGAATCACGCGGAAACCAGCGGATGTTCTCAGTCACGACGTGCCATGAACGGCAGCACGTAGGCGTAAAAATGCTCATATCGGAATCTTAATCGCATAATTACGAACGTTGCTTGTCGCCGTAAATTTTAAATATCTCATTAAACATCGATTGCACGAATAATATTTTATAATTCAATCGTTTTGAAAAGTCAATAAATTATACAAATTATACAAATTACACGTACTATTTAATCGCATGGATAAAAAACTAACTAACGTCGCTATTTAACGGGAATTGATGTACGAGCCGAATAATTTTTTTTCTAAAAGTCTCGCGAACGCAAAAATTTCCCGTTATCGCCCGACAAAATATACATTGTAATAGAGGATAAATCATCCACAATGGCCACGAGATTAAAATTTTCTCAT